GCCGGCCATGGCTGATCACACAAAGCCTCACTGCATGTCCTCGCTTATTCCTGCATTCGGTGTGCAATCAGGTCCGGAACCGCAGGCCTGGCCCCGGGAGCCGGACCGGAACAAGAGGGCTGGGACCAGAACGTGGGCGAGCAGGGAAAGCTAAAAGCAACAGACCCAGACCCAGCCCAGCCCAGCCTGGGGGCCCGGGGCCTGGGGGGCGTGAGAGGAGAACCCCAAACCCTCCCTGGCCAGTGGCCTCACCAGCTTAGCTTGCCTGTTGGGTGCTGGTGGGTTCTGGGGTCCACCGGATTGGGGGGCCATTGAGAGAGTGCCAGAGGGAAGGAGGAAGGAGTCAAAACAGATGACCCTGCCATAGGGGCTTTCCAGGTCATTCTGTTGAATGCAGAGCCCCCCCACCCTCCAACCCCCACCCAATGCCATCTTGAGGCCGAGCCCAGGGCCCAGCTGGGTCAGACACTGGGAACCCTCAGGCCTGCCGGGCTGTCTGGCAGGAGAGACTGCCCTGGGAGAGGAGGGGAGGAAGAAGAGCCTCATTGTGTCTGCTCCGCTGTGCAGAGAGAGGAGCTGGGGGCGGCGTGCAGAGAGGTGGTCAGGGCGGGTGTGTCTCACTGTCTGCAGCGGTCCCACCGCCTCCCATGGGGCCGGAGCTTCACGCTCACATCTCAGAGAAGCCACGCTCGGTTGAGTGTGCCCGTGACCCCTCACGGGGGCAGCTGGTGCCACGTCCGCAGCCCTAGCCCCCAGGGGAGGCCCCGCGGGACAGCTGCAGGCTCACCCCAGCCAGGGGGCCCCACCCCAGCCCTGCTCTCGCCTGCCCAGGGGTTTCTCTGTCTCCCCCTCCCGGGTCCCAGAGGACCAATCAGGAAACACTTTCCTTTCGGGGCGGTGGCTGTGGGCCGAATGAGTTTAAGAACGGGGCCAGAGGAGGGAAGACCGACATCTTCGTGTTCAGCCGGCCCCCTGGGTCATTCTGGAGCCCGGCGGTCGGCCCCTGCCTGGGGACCCCGTGGCCGAGCCTGGATCCCACAGCTGGCCCTGGGTGCCAGGTCGTCCTGCAGGTCGCAGGGAGCTTACGGGCTGTGCTTCTCACCTCGGCAGCAGCAGAGAGGACGCGGCAGGGCCTGTGCCATGGGGCAGGGCGTCCCAGGCACTTCCCAGGGGCACCTCCATCTTTCACATGTTCCCCTCTGAGGCGGAGGAACAGCGCCTGCCTCGGGGGTGGTTGGAGGATGCCAGCAGGGCATTGCCAGGGCCGCTCACAGGAAAGCTGTGGGAAAGGTCACTGTTACTAAAGACAGCCAGTGAGCCCCAGAGAGGCAGCCCGACCTGGCGGGCAGAGCCAGGACTGCGGGCTCACTGCAGACCCCTGTCTAGCACTCCCTCTGGCTCTTCCACTTCAGGGGCCCTGGGTCCAGACCCCAGAGCTGGGAGGTTGGGATTTGTGGCCAATGACACAGTCCCACCCATGTCCTCGGTCTAGATGACCTGCTTAGCAGAGCAGCCTGCTGGGCCACTTGTGTGGGTGCCGGAGGGGAAGGGGAGGGGCTTGGAAGCAGGTGGGTAAGCAGGGGAGGGGAGAGCGGGGGCAGAGGTGGCTGTAGCTCGGGCCCCAGACACCCCTCTGGGCTCCACAGGGCCCTCAGCCTGGCATGAGGCCAGCTGCACGGGGTGCCGCGTGGACAGTCCATTTCAAGGGCCTGGTCACTGTAATACCTGCCTGCCCAGCCCTCCCCACCTTCCTGGTCACTGAGCATTCTGGGTGCCAGTTCTGTGCTGTGGTGGGGCTGGGCCTGCAGGGGCGCTGAGGAGCCAGGAGGAGAGGCTGGGTCTCCAGCTGTGTCTCCGGCTGCATCCACCTGCCCTCCGCCGGGTCCTCACCAGGTCCTCCCCTGCCTCTGAGGGCTCCCTCCCCGTGGGGGGCAGAGAGGGAGGGCCGAGGGCTCCGATGGAGGCAGAAGGAGGCTTCCGGTGGGGTAGTCAGGAGCTGCCGGGTTTGAGCTGATCCCGAAGGAAGCGTGGGGTTCCAGGAAGCAGAGGAAGGCGTGGAGGGTGCTCCAGGCCAGAGACCCGCAGGAGGAAGGCAGTTTTTAAGTTTTAATGAGTTATTTCAGGTATTCAAAAAAATAGATAACAGTCTCTCCACTGCCCAGCTCAGAGGTAGTGCAGACCCTGTGGGCCTGGGCCCCTCTCCTGCCTCCGAGGGAGCCGTGTGCTGCGCTCCCCTCAGCTGCCTGATTCCTTACTGTGCACTCCGCATCCCAACTTGTATAGGCGGTGGTGGGCACACTTTGGCATTGTTTTTGTTTAAATCCTCACCCAAGGGTGTTTTTTCCGTTGATTTTTAGGGAGAGTAAAAGGGAGGAGAGAGAGAGAGAGAGAAAAAGAGAGAGAGAGAGAGAGAGAGAGAGCGAGAGCGAGAGAGAGAGAGAGAAACCTCCATGTGAGAGAGACACCTGACTGGTCGCTTCCCGAATGCATTCCAAGGGAATGCAACCCAGATACATATACATGCCCTCGACTGGGAAGCACACCCACAACCTTTGGGCTGCAGGCCGGTGCTCTAACCACTGGGACACATCGGCCACGGCTACATCCTTCATTTTCCTGGCTGTGCAGTTCTCCATGCTCTGATGATGTCACCACTTGTTGATCCGTTGTGCTGCTGGTGGACACTTGGGGCTTTTGCTTGTTTACTCTTGGGAGTACAGGGTCTTTCCAGGGCCGCGGAGCCAGGGGTGGGGGTGGGGGTGGGGGGAGGCAGAGACTTGTTCCCATCCCAGTCCAGGCCTGACTGGGCGTCGGACAGTCGCCGGTCAGCAGTGGGAGCCGCGGAAGGCTTTTGAGCAGGAGCGGGACTCGGTCTGTTTGCCAGTGGTCTGCAGTTGGACTGGAGGCAGAGAGCTGTGTAAAGGAGCTTTCACAGGGGCCTGCCCTGGGGGAGCTCCTGGGGAGGGGTAGATGGCAAACTTTTCTTTTTAGTTCTTTATCGTTGGAGGCATTCCATGTTTCTCCTCTCCCCCATTGACCTCTGCCAGCCGCTCCCGCCTCCCCTGGGTTAGGCTGATATGCGTGCGTGCTCACAAGTCCTTTGGTTGATCTCCTCCCCCCTCCTCCCACCCTCCCCTGTCTTCCCTCTGAGGTTTGACGGTTTGCTCGATGCTTCTCTGTCTCTGGATCTATTTTTGTTCATCGGTTCATGTTGTTCATTATATCCCACAAGTGAGTGAGATCATGGGATACTTGTCGTTCTCCGACTGGCTTATTCCGCTCGGCATAATGCTCTCCAGGCCCCTCCGTGCTGTTGTAAAGGGAAAGAGTTGTGTTAGAAGGTGAACGTGAGGGAAAACGTGTCTTGGTGGCCTGTGCCAGGGGAGGGCTCAGTCAGAGCTCTCCCAGGAGGAGAGGCGGCAGGAGGAGGAGCGGACAGGCGTGGGTTTGGACGTCGGTGATGGTGACACAGCCATTCTGTGGGGATGGAGGAGGAGCCAGGTCTCAGAGCCCGGAGAGGCATGTGGTGGTCATTGTCGGGGAGGACTGGGCGGGGAGCTCGGGATGAGTGTCCCAGGGGTCCCTGGTCCTCAGGCCCGGCACCCTCGCTCTGCACTGTGATCCAGACTTCAGGCCCCTGTCCCTCCCCCACACAGACCCCTCCCCCACAGCCCGTGGGCCCGCACCATCTCCAGCTTCCTCCTCCCCAGCACCCGCCAGCCCAGGCTCCTGTCATCTCTCCCGCTCAGCGACTCCGTCTCCCCTGCCACCTTCCACTGCACCCTCCACAGCAGCCACGTGAACCCTGAAAGAGGGAAGTCAGAGCACATGCCTCCCCACTGTAACAGCCGCCGGCAGTGTGCCACCCCCCAACTCTGGCCCGGCCCCTGCGCTCCTCCGCTCTGGCCCTCTCTGCCCCCGGGCCTGCCTGGGCCTTCGGGAGGCTCCGGGGACAGCCTGCTCAGGGCCTCCGTGCTGCACCCCAGCTGCCTGCCCTGCTGGCCCCGCCCGTCTGCCCATGCCCAGCTCGGGGGCTGCCGTGGACAAGAGGCCTTCCCCAGCCATCCTGGCCGCAGGAGGACAGACCTCTCCCCTCCACCGCCAGCGAGAGCTCACTGTGTGCTGCTTGGTTCCCGGTTTGGTCTGTGGGCCGCCCCACTCGCTACGCTGGCAGCAGCCCAGCGCCTGGCTCTCCGCTGCCTGTGCCCTGTCTGGCACGTGCAGTGAATATTTGCTGAAAAAGCAAGGGAGAGAGAGGGGCCTTGTTTGCTGCAGCTGCTTCATGCACAGCCTCTGTCCTCGACCTTGGCCTTCGTGGGGGACAAAGCACATGTGAGCCTCCAGAAGGGGAACGCGGGGGGCGCTGAGCAGCCCCTCCCGGGGGCAGACGCCGTCTGCCAGCCGCGGTGAGGGCGCCTGGCTGAGTGTGGGAAGGAAACAGCAGTTGCTCAACACTTTCCACCGCCGGGCCCGGCGGATTACCATGTGTTACCTGTTCTGTGTCACTTAGTCCTCACACAGTGCTGAGGGGTGAGTCCTGGCAGCGTGCTGAGGACGAGGAGCTGGCCTGAGGGACCAGGGCCTGCCCAAGCTCTCGGGACTCCATGCACGGATGGAGGTGGTTTTGGGGCCCAGAGGAAAGCTTACTTATTTACTAGATCCCTGGGCACAAAATTCCTGCAAGGGGGTGGGTGGCGCAGCCTGGATTGCGAGAGGGCGCAGGGACCCACCGGTGCACGGTGCACGACTGGGGTTGGGGAGGGACACAGGAGGTTGGCCAGCCTGGGAGAGACCACGAGAGGGCCCCGATGGGCTGCACGCAGGGTCAGTCTGTCTTGCTCTCCATCTTGTCCTGAGTACTGAGCAGGGCAAACAGGAGGCACACAGTAAGCGATGGCGGCGTTGCGTTGGCCCAGGGGCGGCCGGCGGAGGGGAGACGAGGGGCCCGGGCCTCACGGGAGGCCGGGGCGCGGGGCTGAGCACGGACTCCCTCCCTGCAGGTACAGCCTGTACACCCGCACCTGGCTGGGGTACCTCTTCTACCGGCAGCAGCTGCGCAGGGCCCGGAGCCGCTACCCCAAAGGCCATTCCAGGACGCAGCCCCGGCTCTTCAACGGTGAGCTCCCCGCTCTGCCCGCCACCCTCCCTGTGCGCTCCCCGCCCCGTCCCCCGACGGCTGGGCTGCCTGCCTGTGGCCTCACCCACACCCCCTCCCTCCCCAGGAGTGAAGGTGCTTCCCATCCCCGTCCTGTCGGACAACTACAGCTACCTCATCATCGACACGCAGGCCCGGCTGGCTGTGGCTGTGGACCCTTCCGACCCCCAGGCCGTGCAGGTGAGGGCCGCGGGCCTGGGGTGGCCGTGGGGCTGGCAGCTGCCCTTTCCCAGAGAAGGACTGGTCCCAGTCCCTCTGCCCATGGATGTGCCCCCCCCCCCCACATGCGCTCACACACAGAAACCCCACAACCCCAGCGGGGGCAGGGCCGGGGGGGGTGTCCAGCGCTTCACTGGAGGGAGCGGGGAGGGCAGCAGCGAGGGAACCAGACTCCAAGAGGGCGATGTGGACCCAGGACAGTGGGTCTCTCGTTCTCTGCGCCTGCTTTCTCCTCTCCTCCCCGCTGTCTGTCTGCATCTGGGACTCTCCATCTTTCCCTCCCATTTCTTACTCCTGTGCGTGCTTCTGTCTCTCCTCGCCTCTCCTCCCCCTCCTCGCCTCTCCTGTGTGCCATGCTGGGTCTCAGCTACCACCTTTCCTTCCCAGCTCTTTTCTCCCACCCCTTCTCATTCCCTCTCTCTCTCTCTCTCTCTCTCTCATCCCTCTCTCTCCCTCACCCCTCCCTCCTCTCTTTTCCTCCCTTCTCCGCCCAGCACCCACGCCCCTATCTCCCTGCCCGGAGCCGCCCTCTGTGCCCTGTTCCTCCGTCTCAGTAACCTCTGTCTTCCAGGCTTCCATTGAGAAGGAAGGTGTGACCTTGGTTGCCATCCTCTGCACCCACAAACACTGGTAAGGAGCTGCTGGTCCAGCTACACACGCTCTTCCCTAGCTGGCTCTCACCCGGCTCATCTCGTGAGGTCTGAGCTCCGTCCGTAAGGCCAGGCCGGGCGGGGCCAGGAGGTCAGGATGGGGCCACCTCACCGTGTGATGTACGGGGCCCTGGCAGAGGGGGGGTCAGCAGGCGGCTTACCAGGCTCCTGAGGCCCCAGAGGAGAGCAGGGCAGACTCATCTCTCCTTCCATGTCCCATGGGCACTTCTTTAAAAAAAAAAAAAAAAAAAAAAAAAATATATATATATATATATATACACACACACACACACACACACACACACACACACACACAATTAATTTTTTTACAGAGAGGGAGGGAAAGGGCTAGAGAATTAGAAACATCGATAAGAGAGAAACATCAACCAGCTGCCTCTTGCACATCCCCCACTAGGGATGTGCCCGTAACCAAGGTACATGCCCTTGAGCGGAATCAAACCTGGGACCCTTCAGTCTGCAGGCCAACGCTCCATCCACTGAGCCACACCGGTCAGGGCTCATGGGCACTTCTTGCATGCCTGCTGTGCCCTGGGCATGGATAGATCTTGTGATCTCTTCTCTCAAGAAGATTATAGTGCCCTAACCGGTGTGACTCAGTGGATAGAGCGTTGGCCTGTGGACTGAAGGGTCCCAGGTTCGATTCTGGTCAGTGACATGTGCCTTGGTTGTGGGCAGGTCCCTGGGAGGGGGATGTGCAGGAGGCAGCTGATCAATAATATATATATATATATATATATATATATTTATATATTTATATATTTATATATTTATATATATATATATATTTTTTTTTTTTTAAAGGTTATAGTGCAATAGGGAAGATAGTCATGCATGAACGTGTACAACAATGACAAACATTGACAACAGTGGCAGATGGCACAGGGTATGGGGGGGCACCAGGTGGGGCATAATCGGATCCACTTGGAAGAATTAGGAGCTGGTGACCCAGGAGCTGAGAGAGTCCAGAAAGATCCGTTGGCATTGGCCGGTGATGGCTGGCAGGGGTGGGGGTGGGGGGAATGGGGTGACATTCTGAGAAGGCCCGGAGGTGTGGACAGCTCGGCTTGGCCCAGCAGCCAGGACACCTGGGCTCACAGGCCCGGAGGTCCATGGAAAGAGAGGCGAGGAGGCCTGGTGCAGTCACCCTTCAGAGCCCCCCCTGTGCCTGCCGTCCGCAGGGACCACAGCGGAGGGAACCGTGACCTCAGCCGGCGGCACCAGGACTGTCGGGTGTACGGGAGCCCCCAGGACGGCATCCCCTACCTCACCCAGTGAGTCCCTGACCCGCGGGCGGGATGGCATTTCTGTGAGCCCCTCCCTCAGCGTTCAGCCGAGTATTTTTTTTTTTTTTAAAGATATTTCTTTATTGACTTCAGAGAGGAAGGGAGAAGGAGAGAGAGAGAGAAAAACATAACTGATGAGAATCATTGATTGGCTGCCTCCTGCACTCCCCCTACTGGGGATGGAGCCCACAACCCAGGCATGTGTCCTTGGCTGGAATCGAACCTGGAACCCTTCAGTCCACAGGCTGACGCTCTATCCACTCAGCCAAACCAGCTGGGGCTCAGTCGAGTATGTTGCTGACGCTTCTCCTGGCCTTCAGAGAGCAGGTCACAGCCCCTTTGAAGACTGACACTGCCACCCCCAGCTGACTGAGCCGTGACCCCCAAAGCAGGAGGAGGCGGGGGTTTGGGTCTGCAGTCCCCGGCCCTGGGGGTGCCTTCTCTTTCCGGTGTGGAAGCCCCGACTCCTGCACACGTCCAGCCCCCTGAGCCTCGGGGAAGGCAGGCCCAGGCTGGCATAAGCTCTAGTGCCTTCTCTCCCCTGTCGCCTTGCTCCTCAGTCCCCTGTGTCATCAGGACGTGGTGAGCGTGGGACGGCTTCAGATCCGGGCGCTGGCCACCCCTGGCCACACACAAGGCCATCTGGTCTACTTGCTGGATGGGGAGCCCTACAAGGGTCCTTCCTGCCTCTTTTCGGGGGACCTGCTCTTCCTCTCTGGCTGTGGTGAGTTCCCCCGAAGGGAAGAGGGAGGATGAGGGGTAGAAGGGAGGGCGGAGGCCAGGGCAGGGGCCCCAGGACAGCCTCGGGGCCACGCAATGCGGTAAAGCGCCGTCTTTGTACAGGTGTTGCCTCGGCAGTTCCTCCGATTTGGGGAAACCGTTACCCATGTCACCTGAATTTGTGTTACATTCTCACCACTCCCCACGGGGACTGGATAGAATGAGACAAAGCCTGTAACTGAGGACAGGGCGTTTGTTCCACGGGTGGAGCCTGATTCTCTGACACAGTGACTCAGGGGCTAAGTTACAAAAACTTGAGAACCCCTGAGCAGAGGACGATGGGGATCCCGAGGCCCAGGCTGTAGGGTCCCAGCAGGCAGCTCTAGCAAAGAGGGAAGTGTTCCGTGGGAAGGAGCAGCCTGACAGGGCCGTGCTGGGGTTGTTAGGCCTCAGCCTGAAGCCTGGCACCCCCTCTCCACCGGCCTGTCAGTGTGTGCAGTGGGGGCCCTCGGGAGGGCGTGGCTGGCGTGACTACATGGGCCCCGTGCCCTGGTGCACGGTGAGGGCTGGTGGTTCGAGGGACACACGCTGGTCCCCGTCCCACGTCACCTACCTCATGTCACACCGTGTTATCCTGGGCTTTTATCACACACCCCCGGACCCACCAGGACGGACCTTTGAGGGCACTGCAGAGACCATGCTGAGCTCGCTGGACACTGTGCTGGGGCTGGAAGATGACACTCTGCTGTGGCCTGGTGAGGTGCCCCTTCCCCAACCCTTCCCCCTTCTAGGGTCCCCCAGCCCCGCCCCCTTCTTATAGGCTCTGTAACAACGCCTCCGCTTAGCCAGAGCTGAGGATGAAAACTCACTTTGCTCATCAGGAGAGAAGTCAGTAAACCCAGTCTACATGTATCCATTGTCTGCATCCATATCCACACATTGTATGTTCAGCCATCTGTGTATATGTAAGTACATTGCATGGCCATACAGATATATATATATATATATATATATATATATATATATATATATATATATATATCATGTTCAATTTTTAAAAATAATATATTTTGATTGACTTCAGAGAGGAAGGAGAGGGAGAGATAGAAACATCAATGCTGAGAGAGAATCATCCATCGGCTGCTTCCCATGTGCCCCACCAGGGACCGAGCCTGAAATCCGGGTGCGTTCTCTGACCGGGAATCAAACCACGACCTCCTCGTTCCCGGGTCAAAGCTCTACCACTGAGCAACACTTGCCAGCGCACGTCTACAGTTTCTGAAACACTTTAACCAGTATCTCAGTTAGTCCTCGGGACGTCCCATTTCACCCATCCATTCGTACTCTCTTGAGCACCTGGCATGTGCCAGGCTCCGTTCTGGGCACTGGAGACACACCTTCTCCTGGTGGCACTATTTTCTCCACTTGCCAGAGAAAACCGGGGCCCAGCGAGGTGCCATGTCTTGACTGAGGCCTCAAGGGAGGGCGGAGGCAGAGTTGGGCTGGAACCCGGTCTCCTGGCTGCAGATCCGGGGGATTCCCCTGACTGGCTTCTGCCTCTTCACACACGGCCGGCTGGTGCCCACCTCTCCCGGGCAGGGCTGCCCCTCCGCCGGGTGCCAGTCCCATAGGCCTGGGGCGGGGGGACTTTTCCTGGTCACACACCAACCTCTCTGCCCTGCCCCTGGCCCTCGGGTCCTCAGGCCACGAGTACGCGGAGGAGAACCTGGGCTTCGCGGGCGTGGTGGAGCCCGAGAACCTGGCCCGGGAGAGGAAGATGCAGTGGGTGCAGAGGCAGCGGATGGAGCGCAAGAGCACGGTGAGGGGCCGAGAGCACCGCCCGGAGGGCACCTCCCGCCGAGCCCGGCCTCGGTGCCCCCCAGGCCGGCCAGCGAGGACTCCCGGGCCCAGCAGGGGCAGGGGGCGGGCGGCTCCCCGGGTTGGGTACATTTCCCAGGTTCTCCCCGCCAACGCCAGCAATTCTCCCCACGCTGGCCCCGCAGTGCCCGTCCACGCTGGGCGAGGAGCGCTCCTACAACCCGTTCCTGCGGACCCACTGCCTGGAGCTGCAGGAGGCCGTGGGGCCGGGCCCGGGCCCCTCCGAGGACGCCGGCTGCTCCCGGGCCGAGCTCCTGGAGAAGCTGCGGCGGCTGAAGGACCTGCACAAGAGCAAGTGACGCCCCCAGCCCCCAGCCCACCGCCCGGCGGGGAGGCCGCCATCGCCCGCACCCACCACCCCCATCGCCACCAACACCACCTGTCCGCGCCGCGGGGCCTCGTCCCGACACCCGCCACGGAGACCAGGCGGGGGCCCTGAGGCCCAGGGAGGGGCTGCTCCGCGGCGTGGGCTCCATGTGGTGAGGCTGAGCGTCCAGCCTAGCGGGAGAGGAGGGGCCCGGGCACCTCCTGACCTAAGGGAAAGGGTCCCTGCCCCCTGGTTCCTGGTTCCCGCCTGGCAGCGCTCTGGCTGCAGCCACGGAGCCCAGGCCACGGGAGCCGTGAACAGGCTGAGTGCATCCCCTCCTCCCCTTCAGAGCTGGGAAACTCAGTCTCCCCAGGCGGGCTCTGGTTTACGGAAACACTGCCCCGTCCCCCGCCCGCCGGCCTCCCCGCCTGCCCCATCCCATCCCGACCTCCCAAAGACATTTTCATCCCAGCTATTCCCGAGAAAGCTGAAAGGGCGGGAAGTCCGGCTGTCTGTCCAGTCCCAGCCTCAGTGGCTTCCCCGCAGCCTGGGAGAGGGAGGGTCCTGGTTGCCAAGGAAACCTTGGCTTCAGGCTCAGGAGACACGGGAGGGTGCTGGGTTGCAGCCCAGCAGTCTTGTCGGTCACACGGGCTCCCTGCACAGCTGGCCTGGTCCTGCCCACTGGCCTCTGGCCCTGCCCTGGGCCAACAGCCCCTCCCTTCCAGGCGAGAGAGAGAGAGAGAGAGAGAGAGAGAGAGAGAGAGAGAGAGAGAGAGAGAGAGCCATCGTCCACCATGGCCCGCAGTCTTCTCCTTATGGACCTTATTCTTAGGAACTTCTGCCGCCTCTAACTTCCGCTTCATCCTCAGCCCCTTTCCTCTCTTAGTCATTAACGACATTCACCTGGCCCCTCGCGGTGGCCAAGGACATTCCGTGTCATCCCTCACTTGGGCCTTGGCCCCGTCCTGGCGGGGGAGGGGTCCGGGAGGCAGAGCTCAGCAATGGAGACCTGGGGGCAAAGGCCTCTCCAGGGAATGGCAGCTTCCAGGACCCCAGGCCCGGGCCCTGCCCTCTGCTCAGCCCTCCCGCAGCTCAGCATCTCCTCCGGTCTCGGGTCCAGGTTCCTCGTGAGGAACCCCGTGGTCCTCAAACAGGGTCCCTGGGCCAGCCGGGGGCCTGGTCTTCCCTCCTCCCTCCCTCAGGCTCCGCTCCCCTCCGGCGAGCCTCCGAGATGCCCGTGCCCTCAGTTTCCCCTCAGCATCCGGCCTCTGCCTCCCTCTCTGGCCATGGCCTCTAGTACCAACTCCAGCAATAGCGTTCCCGCACCCCGAGACATGCAGTTTCCTGCCTCTGTGCCTTCGCTCGCGCTGTTTCCTCAGACTGGAATGCCTTCCCCCTCCTCCTGCCTTGTCTGCCTGGCAAGCACTGTTCGTTCTCCACCGTCCCCCTCCACGGCCCCTCCTCCCCCGCCCCCGGCTACCTCTGCTCCCTGTAAACGCTTCTCTGTGGCACTTCTCACTCTGTAGTCCCCGTTCACACGTGTGTCTCCCCTTCCAGGGCATGGACTGTATCTTATGCATCTCTGTATTTCCGCGCCCAGCACGGTGCCTGGCACACAGGAGGCGCTCAATAAACGCTGAATGAATGAATGATTTCAGAGGAGCTCGGTCGCTCAGCGGACTGTCTTTGTTGCTGGTGTTGTGCTGCCAGGGTAACAGGCCCAGCAGCTGGGGGGCACTGTGCTTCGGGGGCTCTGGCCAGCAACCACGCCATGCATAGATCCTCCGGTGGCTTGTGGGCCTCTGCTCCGGGGCTCACGGCTCGCTTACCTCTGTGTCTTCTGAAGCTTGGGGTGCAAAGCTGTGCCCCGGCCACAGGGAGATGCTTACGTGGCCACGGCACAGCAGTGGAGGGCACGTCCAGGGCAAGGCCTTGGCCTCTCTGACGAAGGGCCAGGTGCCACTGTCTGGAGATAGATTTTAACAACATCGTTTTGTTCTCTTTGTGTTTACCTTCGGGGTTAGTAGTTTTGACAAGTGACACCACTTTTCAATTCAGGACAGTAATGAAAGGTATTTATTGAAATAAGAAAATAAGAAGCAAAGGCGACACTTGGCTATGGAGGAATTCTTTTAAAAAAAAAACACACACATTTTTTTATTGATTTCAGAGAGGAAAAGAGAGGGAGATAGAAACATCAATGATGAGAGAGAAACGCTGATTGGCTGCCTCCTGCACACCCCCTACTGGGGATTGAGCCTGCAACCCGGGCATGTGCCTTTGACCAGAATTGAACCCAGGACCCTTCAGTCCTCAGGCTAACACTCTATCCACTGAGCCACACTAGCTGGGGCTATGGCAGGATTCTTAAAGGTGGCGCTGGAAGGGCTGAAGACTGAAGCACCGGCTTAGCTCCATGTTTCCCTGGGGGCAGCTCAAGGCATAGCCTTCCCGCCCCTGGCTATCCCGCTGCCTCTCTCCGAGGCGCTCCTCGTCACCCCACGCTGGGGACCGTGGCACTGGCCCAGGCTGTCCTGGATCAGGGCTGCACCGGGGGGGGGTGAGCGGGGGGCCTGGTCCTCACCCTCTGAAGAAGGGCAGTTGTCTGTGCTCTGTGACTGTCTCTGGTCACTGCTGCCTGAATGGCCAGCCCCAGGGCCAGGTCACTGGGTACCCAGCTTCGAGGGCCCTTGGCGATGGTTCTCTAATGCTGATGACACGTCTTCCCAGGGCCTTGGGTCGTCCTCCCACCAATGCCTCTGTCCTGAATGATGACACATGCTTCTCCCAGAGCTGGAACTGACCAGCAGCAACCAAGGCTCCTTGCTCCTTGCTTGCAGGACAGCTGGTGTCACTGGGCTTTGAGACCTGAGCTCTAATCCCAGCTCTGTCACTCAGCATCCAAGTGGCCTTGGATAAGTCACTTCCCTGACCTCCGTTTCCAGTGGAGATGACAAGCATGAGCGAGTCCACCTCTTCAAGGACAAGTGACAAACACTTAACAGAAAGGAGCTTAGACCAAAAGGGACATTTATCAGCTCATGAAATCAAGAGTAGGATTATGTCATGGTGAGTTCAGGCATGAAGAGGAGCAGTGTGCTCAGCACTCAGATCTGCTTTCCTCTGCATTGGCAGGGTTCTGTCAGGCTTTCTCCCCGCAGCGGAAAGATGTTCTCTAGAAGTCCCAGGCTACTAGTTCCTACAAGTTAGCAGAACCCCCCATAGTCCCAGGGATAGAGTTTCATTCGCCCAGTTGGGGTCATGTGACCAACCCTGAATCAACCATAAGGATAAGGTATCCAGACCTCTCTGATTGGCCAACCAGGTCACATGACTATACTTGGAAGGGCAGTGTCAGACCCAAGTGAAACAGTGCATTGAGAGCAGGGAAAGAGTCCCCCGAAGGACCAGGAGGTCTGATACCAGAAAGGATGCAAGGCAGCAAAATCACAACCCTTCACTAACAATCCGACTTACGTTAGGAGAGTCTGATGAGAAACCTTTGGAAAATGCTATATCAGACTTTTGATGCTATAACTAATTATAAAGAAGAAATGGCCGAAACCGGTGTGGCTCAGTGGATAGAGCGTCGGCCTGCGGACTGAAAGGTCCCAGGTTCGATTCTGGTCAAGGGCATGTTCCTTGGTTGCGGGCACATCCCTGGTAGGGGGTGTGCAAGAGGCAGCTAATCGATGATTCTCTCTCATCGATGTTTCTAACTCTCTGTCCCTCTCTCTTCCTCTCTGTAAAAAATCAATAAAATATATTAAAAAAGAAGAAGAAGAAGAAGAAGAAGAAGAAGAAGAAGAAGAAGAAGGAGAAGAAGAAGAAATGGAGGTAGACATATGGCCCCCAAGGTGTTTGAAGAAAAATATAGAAAAAAAAAACTTTATGTGACTCACATATGAAAGCAATAGGGTTTGCTTTTTTTAAGATTTTATTTAAAGCCTCTATTTTTTGTTAACAACGTTGAGATATAATTTACATAACACAAAATTCACCCTTTTAATACATGCACGATTCAGTGGTTCAAGTACAGGCAGTTTTCTGGCCATGGCTGCCATCTCATCTTAGAACATTTTCATCGTCTCAGGCAGAAACCCTGTGTCCATTTGATGTCACTCCCTGCCTCCATGCCTCCACCCCACCCCCAACTGATCTACTTTCTGTCTCTAGATTTATTCTGAAAATGCCATATAAATCGAATCATACATATGTGGTCTTTTGTGACTGGTTTCTTTTACTCAATATGATTTCAAGGTTCATCCATGTTGTATCATGTATCGGTACTTTATTCCTTCATGGCTGAATGATATCCCATTGGATTTATACACCACATTTTGTTTATCCATTCATCAGCTGATGGACAGTTGGGTTGTTTTCACCTTTTGACTATTATGAATAATGGTGCTGTGAACATCTGTGGCAAGTTTTTGCATAGATAGATGTTTTCAGTTCTCTTGGGTATATACCTAGGAATGGAACTGCTAAGTCATACAGTAACTCCATGTTTAACTTTTTGAGGAACTAATAAACTGCTTTCCGAAGCAACTGTGAGTTCCTAATGCCACTGATGGCTCACGTGCAGAGGGAGGCTTATTCATAAATCACTTTGGTTTTTAAAAATTAATGTGCCCTCGCTGAAACCAGTTTGGCTAGTGGATAGATCGTCGGCCTGCAGACTGAAGGGTCCTGGGTTCGATTCAGGTCAAGGGCATGTACCTTGGTTGTGAGTATGTGATTCTCTCATTGATGTTTCTAACTCTCTATCCCTCTCTCTTCCTCTCTGTAAAAAATCAGTAAAATCTATTTTTAAAAAAAATTAATGTGCCCTGACAGTGGATAGAGCATTGACCTGTGGACTAAAGAATCCTAGGTTCAATTTCGGTCAAGGGCTTGTGCCTTGGAGAAACCAAGATGGCAGCACCTATATTTGCTGCCTCTCACAACCACATCAAAACCACAACTAAATGGCAGGACAACTACCACCCA